GGGGGGGGGGGTTAAAAAAAAACACCTTTGAAGCAGAACAAGCAGAAAAGACCTCCAGAAGACGAAGTACCGAAATAACCCTATCTACGATCATTAATGCCATTCACAAACAGCTACAACAATATAAACGACTGCAACAACAAAAATAACTACAACAAAAACAACAATAAAAAAAAGGAAAACAAGACAACTGCAACGACAAGAAGAACAACAGCAAAAACAACAACAGCAACAGCAGCAACAACAACAACAACAACAACAACAACAACAACAACAGCAACAACAGCAACAACAACAACAACAACAACAACAACAACAACAACAACAACAGCAACAACAACAGCAACAACAACAACATCACAGCAACAGTAAAAAAAAAAAAAAAAATTAAAAAAACAGCTGCCATGGCAGGAGCAGAAACAGCCACCGCTTCACACACAATAACAAGGTCCACATAAATCATCTCACTTCTCCATCATCTTGACAATAACAGGATCTACAGCCATCAAATTTTTAGGCACAGGTGCTTGTTGTCCAGTCCTCACGTTGTACAGGTATGGTACTCCAATGGCCTGGGTTCGAGTCCGCCTCGACAAACCGAAACAAATGGGAGATCCTTGCGTCTGCATGTGTCGCTGTTGCTGCTGTTGTTGGTCGCTGTCAATACCTTGCCTTGGCCTGGAAGTAGATAATGACGTCGATATTGAAAAACATATTGATGTGATTCAACGCTATAGAACCGTGGCGACCATCCACCCAATAATAATAAGAGATAATAGACACCATTTGAAAAGCGCACATCCCCGTTCAACAGCACGCTCTATTCGCTTTACAATCTATACAATTACCCCAGCAGACCTGAGAGCGTTCTGAAACAACCTCAACTTCCTGGGAAGCATACAGTGCAAGCGGCCATTTATAGCCGCTAAACCACTATCATACTGACAAGATCTTTCGCTGTCTATTGCCGGGTACCCATTCCCACCTGGGTGCAGGGAGCAAAATTCATGTACGGTGCCTTCCCACGGACAAAACGTCGGACCCGAGACTCGAACCCCCGAACCCATCAGTCTTCACGTATTTAAACTGCTTGTCAAAACAAAACCACGTTCAATGATATCGATTGTACACAGTAATCATCGTTTTCATTTTTTTATTTTCTGTTCCAAATCTTGTTCTGAAAACTCGAAGAATGCACATCGGCCGCCTTGTTGTTGTTGATGTTATTGTGTTGCTGCCACAGTTGCCAATAGTCAAAAATGTTTACTAAACATCTCCTTTTAATACGCTTCCATAGAGCACAATATTACTTTTGCGGTGGAAACATTTCATTTTCTACTACATGTTTGACCACTGGTGCGCCTATTGAAGTCGTGTTATATCGGGGCAACAGCCCTGGTACGCTGTAAAAGAAAAATTAGAAATTGAAAACACTACTCAGACACTGTCCTTGGGCTAGACTTCCAGCGATTTGAACAGAAATTTAGTTTCGTGATTTTTATTTTTATTTTTATT